TTGACGGGCGGCTTCTCTTTTCCAGGAGCCTGGTAAACGGGACCTTCGCAGAAGTCAAGGACAGGATGTTTTCCCACCTGCCCTCCCTGCAGCTGCTGTAAGTATGGCACTGGGAAGGACACCGGCCAGTTAGCGCTTTGCTCGGCCCTCTCGGACAGGGCTGCGGGTGTGCTGGAGGAAGGGCGGTGAGGGCTGAACCCCCAGCTTCTGCAGCCCCCCGAGGTAGCTGCTGCTCTCAGAATTTAGGGCTACGTTTTCCGCTCATAAACCACTTCATAAAAACAGTGTTTAGTTGCTGAGGGAGGACAAAATGTTTTCTGATGACATAAGTGTTTTATTTTTTTTGTTTTGTTTTGTTTTGTTTTTTAATTTCAGCCTTAATAAGTTTAAGGCTGAGTTTCGACCCCAGCGTCATGTGGTGGCTCTCGGGTGTGCTCACGTTGTGCCCAGGAGCCTTGCTGCGGGACGTTGCGGGCGAGCGGAGGCTGCTGGGACACAGCTCGAGGAAAGCCTCAGTGCTGGAGTGTTGGCGTGGCTGCAGCACGACTGCCTCGCCATCCCACCCGGAGCCTGGCCCCTCGGATGCCTTCTGACCTGATGACCTATGGTCCTGTGTCCCAAGGGACAGTGGTCCAGCTCCCGGCCCCCTGCAGCCCTCCTTCGTTCATGGCCTCGGGCAAGTCTCTTGGTCATGCCCATGTTGCACTCGAATGATGTGGCTGTAGCCCCTGTAGCTTACCTGAACTTGCTTCAATTTACCAGTCCCAGGAGGCGGCAGCAGGGCAGGCACAGAGATACGGCCTGTGGTACCACTGCCCTGGGGAGCCCAGTGCTTGTTTCCCAGGTAGCCAGCAGAGAAGCCGTGCTGCTGCCTGCGTCCTGCCTGTCCCTGTGCAGCCCGCCCGTAACGCCCAATGCCAAGTGGACCCTCACATCTTCCCCAGTAAAGACCAGTTTATCCCCAAAGCAAAGACACGCTGCAAAGAAAAATTTGGCAAAAAGACGCCAGGCATGGCAGAAACCCAAGCTAAGTGCTTGCCACAAAGATAGACTAGATTGTCTTCTCAAGAGGTAGTCCTTAAAGACATCTAATAGAGTGATGGCTGGCCTCTTCTGCTCAGGCACCCCTACCTCGTTCTCAAAGGCCTGACTTAGTATTTGTGGGGTGGCAGCACCTCATGGAAAATACTGGAGGGAAAGGAGCAAGGCAGAGAGCGGAGGCCTTCACCTTCTTTAGTGTGGCACCAGTCCCAAACTGACGTTTTTGTGGGACTGGAGGGCCAGCACAGAGCCCTGGGCACAGCACAGGAGGACTTTTTCTGCCAATGAACAGGGGCAAAGGGCAGACTTGCAAAGTGGGAACAGAAGGGGTGAATCCAAGAGTGGGTTGAGAGAAACTGGGTGGAAAATTAGAGATGAGGGGAGTCTGGCTTGGTTTGGATAGTGGTACTGGAAAGAGGGAGGAAGAGCAGGTGAAGGTTATTCCTTTTCCTTAGCTGTAGTAGATTTCCAGGAGGAGACATTGGGGTGCGTGGGGTGGGGAGACAGAAGTCAGTTGCTGAGAAAGTCAAAAGCTGCCCATGTCACTTTCTGTGGTAGAGCAGACATGGGAGCGAGAGGGGTTTGTCATCGCCACACCGCCTTGGGCCCTGGCAGATTGTGTTGGTTAGTGTAATTTGTGAGTTTGCCCTTCAAACATGAGAAAAAGGAGTGATTAAATGACAAAAGAGGTACATGCGTAATTGAGCACTTGGGTACCTCAGGTCTCTGTCTTCTGTGGCAGTAGCCACGGTAAAGCAGTAAGGCAAGGATTTATTTTTCATGGTGGTCTGCATCTTTGTCAGATTTCTTTGGGATAATTTAAGGAGCATTTGTCTGGTATTAGCATAATAACCAAGGATCACAGGGTAAGTTTGCATTTCATGTTCATTAGTCTTCTAAATTAATTTTAGCAAAATGCCTAAAACCATACAGAAAGGATTAATAAGTTACTTTAATAAAGTGATTAGGGCAGATATATTCACTCATAGCAGAAAATTCTGAGATTTTCCCAAAATGATTCCTTTTGAGTAGCGTTCCATTTTTGGACCGAATAAGAAGTTTTGCCTTTTTCTTAAAAGGAGATCCCTCTCTGTGCCTTTGAACATCAACCCTGGAGATGGTTACGCTTTGATACAGCAAAGGAACTTTGCTGACAGAGCTTTTCTGTACCATCCTTCTTCCTGATCACCTTGTCCTGGCTCAGGTGACAACTGCTCCAGCACAGTTCTAACATGTTTTGTCCCCGAAGTTCAAGTGGGAGGGCAAGGCAGTGCCTGGTAGGCACTAGTGCAGGCAGCACCACTGCTCTTCCTCGCTGCCCATGGACACAGGGTTTTGCTTGGCAAGGACAGCAGGCCTCTGGTGGCTGGGCATGTCTCCATTTCCAGCTGATGAACTGGCCATGTCAATTGTGTCCTCTGCTTCCACGTTGTGGGCTGGAGCCTGATTTTAGGTCAGGCTTGGAGCGTTCCCCTGGGAGGGCAGTATGAGCAAGCACTGACCCACTGAGGCTGGTGCTTGTACAAAAGGGCTCCCTGCTTTCTGGGGGATCAGGAGTGCTGCTGAGATGGTCTCTTGAAAATTTTTGTTGTGGCTGGAGGGGTGGTGGGCACCTGAGGTCCACACTCAGCAGGCCTACCCTTTAAGAGAGTCTTGTCCTGCTCAGGGGACCAGAGAGTGGAGGGCCAGGTTGCATGGTGAATGGCGCAGGGAACGTTTTTCCTGGGGAGCAGTGGACATTAACTAGCATCACATTATGCCTTTGATTTTTTTTTTATAGACCATTCCACAGTATTTTATGTGTGCTGCATTGGTGGGGCAATATGGGCTCAAGTCAGTAAGATTAGTTTGGTCATGGGTAATAAACACAATAGGCATAATCCAATGTGTCAAGTTTTAATGTGGTTTCCTAATGCCTGCTCTCCATTTTCAGCTTGCTGAACTCCAACTCCTTCACTGTTATACGAGATGATGCCTTTGCTGGTCTCTTCCATCTAGAATACCTGTAAGTTCTCTATTTTATGTCTTCCCCTGCCCTTTATAAATCAGGATGGTTTGATCAGTTGCCAAGACTCCTGCCGTGGAGTCTTAGTTTTATTGTGATTCCCAGGAGCAGGGGAGATGAAGGATTTATGTTCCACTCTTGTACAAATGTCCTTTATGATGGCTCACCATTTTTCAGAGATTGCAGTGGATTTTTAAAATATGCTGTGAATGCAAGATGGCTCTGTGCAATTACAGTACACCGAAAAAGCATCACTGAGCAAGAGCTTGTCCTGGCTTTCCTGAACAGTACCATCACTGAAGGATT